AAATTCAAGCTTTTATGATATACCTGAATAAGATATATCCTTTACTTCGCCAGCATACACCCTTTTGCTGTCACAAAGCCCGTTTTTCTTTAGACCACCAGTTTGTTTGTTTGTTTGTTTTAGGTCGTTTAAACATCAGATTACCTTTATTATGTCACCATAGTCTACGTAAGTTTATACTTTAAAACAAATTTGTTATTGAGAAAATTTCACCTTTAATGTGACTTGATGTGATTTTATATGTTGTTTCAAAAATGTTGCTTCACAGTTTAACTGGTTATACTTATGTATTATGTATTTCAAATTGTTGATAAAAATAAAATTTTTCAAAAATAAATAAAAAAGAAGCAAAGCAGTCAGGAGACAGTTACCAAAGGCATCCATAAAGCATACTAAACTAAGCTCCTCCATCTATATGTTTGGCAATTTAGCTCTGGTGACATCAGACATTTTCCCTTTACTACTGCCCCCTCTTTTCCAAGGGAAGACTGTATGGGTTAGAGTTGAAGAACCAGAAGGACTGAAGCAGATCACTGAGGATGGTGATATCATAGCAAGCCCCTTGCTTTTTCCAGTGTAGATGTGTCTAGCATTGGCCCATTGACTTATTTAAAAATTTACTTATCTTTGGAATTGTTATCTTTATCATTACCAATTTCTCCACCACTAGAATCTCCACCACTAGAAAAATTCCAGGAACCCGTGTGATCACATCCGTGAGGCTCTAGGGATCTGTAAGGTCTTGGAAGATAGTGGTGAGGTGCTTATTACATCACATTCTGTAACCTGAAGAAGACTTCATGAATCATGTGATCTAGGACATGTGAAACCCGATGAAGGGGCAAACGGGGCCCACTTGCAGCTGTTTCTGCTTGCAAAAATGACATGGAAGGGGATCCTGAAGCGCCTACTTGCCCACAGCATTGCTTGGAGCCATCTTGAAAGGCAGAGTGCTTTGTTAATGCGAGTCCCCCTATGCATGTGTAGTTGTGTCAAGACAACTTATGTCAATTGTAATGCATAGATAAAGTCTAGACCTCTGGCCGGTTACTAATTTGTGAATTTTTCATTTTTAATAGGGTATGAGAGTAAAACAAAACAATAGGACAACCACAGTTACACCCTCATTTGCAAAATGGTTCTATGCTGCTTCCTTTCAGTTGGGTCAGGCAAGCAGAAAGAACTTCTGGATATCTTCATGCATTCCCTATGAAAAGCCATAAGGGAAAAAAAAGTACCTGTCACCATTAACAAGACATTCTCTTTAGTCCTGGAGCTGGACTCAGCAAACGAGCTAAAGAAGATCCTGGAAACTTTCATCCTGGTTTATCATTTGACGACATCCACATGATCTGATGGCTTTCATGTGCAAATGAACCATCCCAGGTCAAAGACCACAAACAGAATTTTGGCCTTGCCTCAAACATGATGCCCTTCCTTGAATGCAGTTCACACATTCAGCAATGAGTCACTGAAAGTTAAGACATCAGTGATGTAATCCTAAAGAGAGTCACACTTGGTGCAGTGGTTAAAGTGTCGGTCTAGGATCTGGGAGACCCAGGTCCAAATTCTCATTCTTCCATGAAGTTTTCTGGGTGACTTCGAACCAGTCATACTTTCCCAACCTAACTTACACTACAAGGTTGTTTTGAGGGTAAAATTGGAGGAGGGGGAGGCTGCTTCCCTGAGCTCCTTGAAGGAAGGGCAGGATTTTAAAAAAGTAAGTAAATCAATAAATTCTAGAAAGGCTTAGAAAGGTAAATCCCTCAGGATGGCACCGCAAGCAATACACATGCATGTGGAACCCAGCCTGTAAATCATCAGTTACCAAGATCAGGTCATTATTTTCTGAAACCTTTAAAATGTTACTTGGCTGGCTATCACATCAGGGTTATCTGCTTCCAAGCAGATCTCCATTATCTACTTCAGGGACCTCTGTCTGAGGATGTTCTGAATGATGTGGATCTCCATCTACGCTTCTGTTCATTCTGTGCTGCATCAGGACATGCGGTGAGGTCAGATAAGAGTCCCACACCTAGTATTCTGGCACACACTTGCCTTATCACCAACAGCTCGTCAAATATGTGCAGTTCTTTTCTGCCCACAGATGTTAATTTGGGCAGGTACCATTCGTGTAGTGCTGCAAAAGAATCTCCCGTTTCATCAGAGAAAATGTGTATTATTCGTTAATCACCCACACACTGCACTGGATTTGCATTTAAGAAGTAACTGAAGCAAACAGAGTGTGTGTGTGGGGCGGGTGGGAAACCAAAGTCTTCAGTAACAAACCACAGCAAGAAAGAAGAAAAAATGCAAATCTTCGAGAACTTCTTCCTTGAGCCAAATTTGGATGGGCCACAGCTTTCCAGAAGCTGAGCACGTGCTCAGTTTCTTACACTGCCAATTTCATCCTCTAGCACCTCCAGAGAATCTCACATAGCACGGCTGGGAAAGACCTTGAAGAGCCAGTGCCCGTCACGAGACAGAGAGTGCCGGACGGACGAGACAGACAAATTGCCTGACTCAGCACAAAGTGGCTTCGTTTGACCAGTCGATTCTGTCCCAGAGGATCAAAGCTGTTCCTGTTGCTGCTGGAATGAACAGTGGGTTGAATCCAGTGCAAAGATTAGGACTCTTCCCTGCTTCCACTGCAGCAACCATGTCCAGCCCTGGGAAAGTTTCTCGGAGTTGGGCCCCCCCCATTAGCAGTAATAGCTGCCTGGGATGATGGGGAAAGGGAGAAACCACGCCTTCCTTCCCTCGTCTGTGAGTGCAAGGGAACGGTTTTGCCACCCTCACTCTCCTCACTGCAGTCCACCAACCCACATGGCTATTAATCCACACGAGTCCTGTGATCTTGGGAATAAACTTCCCAGGGCTGCACATGGCTGCGGGGAGGAGGGAAAAGTGGGAAACATCTGCAACCATCAGTGTCTTCTGCTGATGCATCATTGGATCTAATTCAATAGATCATCCTTGATCTGATGCACTATGTGTTGCCCACCGGGGAGCAGAAGGATTCTCCTTCCTTACAACAAGCACGTCATCATTTTTATTCTACACGAGACGGGACTTACCAAAAGAGAAGATGTTCAGAAGGATGATCTTGAGCCAGGGGGCTAATAACTTTTCCTTGGGGGCTGAATTTTGCTTTAAACTCTCATGCTAAACTGATTTGAAGCTGAGAAGATACTTTGCCCTAAAGCTTTTTTGTCCTCTTTAGCATCCTGAATAGCCCAGACTAATAAGAGCTGGTCAGAGCTCCGAAACTAAGCAGGGTTGATCATGGTTAGTACTTGGATGAAAGACCAGTAAGGAAGACCTGGGTTGCTATGCAGCCAACCGGCCATGGCAAACCACCTCCCATCATCTCTTGCCTTGAAAACCCCACAAGGGGGTTGCCTGAATCAGTTATAACTTGATGGCACCTTGGATAGTTTTGACTTGTCTGCAGCTACTGTTTTGCCATGGGCACCTCTGATAGGATACAGGATACACAAGATTTTCCTGTCCCTTCTCTTCTTGCAGTGCAATGCAATCTGGATGCTCTGGACAAACTATTAGAGGACCTTGCTTTTAGACCACATTGCAGTGGCCTTACTCCATACCCATGATTCTGTGCCTGTTTTGCCATGGGCACCTCTGATAGGATATAGGATACACAAGATTTTCCTGTCCCTTCTCTTCTTGCAGTGCTCTGGATGCTCTGGACAAACTATTAGAGGACCTTGCTTTTAGACCACATTGCAGTGGCCTTACTCCATACCCATGATTCTGTGCCTGGAATAGTGAAGGAAAATTGATTGCATGACTGTCGATCAAGCCTCACTTGAACATCTTGAACTGATGTTCCCTATCCAAGCATAAAATATATGTGCATTTTGCATGAGTTGGGTACACTTGCATAGAATCAGACATATGTCTTTTTCAGAAGCAGTGGCTGTTGAAAAGATCGGGCCTGAGAATTAACATTTCAGAGGACTGCGCCTCAAAAAAAGAAAGAAAAAATCACTTCCTCAACAAGGTGGCCCAGTGAGGACACTGGAGGTAGCTGATAAGCAACAGAATTCTCTGCAGAGTCTTATATATAGTTGTATAAGGTAAAAATACCTGTAAGGATTACCCTTCCAAGCATTTTTAAGTGGATAAGAGTAATTCATAATGAAAAGGGAGATGGGAAAAACCTACAAAGTAGTTCTGTTTCATCTCCCCCCCCCCCGGACTACAATCCCATCCACCCCTATTTGGGAATGACCAGCTGAAATCAATATGAGGCCAATTAGGGCCCAAAGTATGATTGGCAGATAGATTATCCAACAGTCATATATGTATCTGGTCAGTGCTTAGGTAAGAGAGCTCTTAAGAACTTTATGTACACCACCCCATGTATGCCACTGATCTATGCTGTAAACTACCACAAAATATCAGGCATTGGTGGACCATTGGCCAATTTCTTGTAAATTACTGAATGCTTCGTTGTTTGTAGAATGCTTGGAAAGCATTTCATTATGGAAGATATAAAAGTAACAATATGTCAGTAATGCAACTGTTTGATTGTACACAGAGAGAGAAAAATAACTAACTATACAGGAAGCACAGATTTATTCTTTCAAATAGTTAAACCAGTGCTATTTGCAAACAGGGAAGATATTAAATACAAATATCGTGTATACAAATGTTCTTACTTTACACTTTAAAATAGGGATGTTGTTTTATGAAGAGTTCTATTTACAACATACATAGTATGCCACCTTAAAAAGAAAAGGCTTAAAGAGACATTAATCCTTAGTATTGAAACGTTTTATAAAAGTTTTATATATTCATCCCATGGGATGTACAACAGTATGTTCTTGAAACAATTTTACTGCCATCCAAAACATCATGTTTTAAATGTATACAACATCTTTAAGAGAAAAGGAAGTTTGTTTCCATAGGAACATAAAATAATCTATCATTCATGACATTCTAATACATGTTTATCTTAAACCTGTGGTCCCACAGTTATAAGCTTAAGCCACCATCAGAATTGGCATAAATTCCCCAACATTGCACAATATTCTAATACAAACATTAGGCTCATACTGACAGAGTTACTTTTTTGTGATCTTTAAACCACTTGCGCTTATTTTATGCTCTTGTACAGCTCCCATTCATTTTGGTGAGGCCTGTATAAGCAAACTTTCTGGAAAATTGCATCCAAGGCGGGCCAGCCCAGTCAAAATACATGTATGCCAATTAAAGTGGTAGCAGCCTAAAGTGTACAAGCTTTAAGCATAATACCTCTAGTTACAATGAACTTTTTGTGCTTGTTTCCCATCCTATGAATCTGCTGTAAAATCAGCGGACTCACCCAGTCAGTGAAGGAAACTTAATGAGGCACACAGGCTCCATAGGATTTCCTAGTCCAGCGATACCGAACATGGTGCCTGATCATTTGTTTCCTGGGGCCTACTTGTTCCTTCCCAAACCAAAGAGCCAATACTGGCTTTTCTCCACATCACTGGAGCATGAGGTAACTCAGAAGATACCATCAGGCTTCACCTTAGGAGTACCCAGTCAGAAACAGCTATCCTTATTTAGGACAACGCTTGTCTTGAAAACTCCCAACCAGTTGTTATTGCCCCTCATGAAATCCATTTTGTGGTGGCACCCAATACCTTTCCCCCAAAATTCCAAAGTGCACACCGGCTCAGCAAGATTAGGGACTCCTGTCCTAGCCTATATACTAAGGTTCTCAAATACACTGTCGTAACTACTGTCCTCAACTCAAGAAAAAAAAATCTTGAGTATTCCTACATGGGCTAATAATTGATTATTATTTTGTCCCGGTGATCTACTCAAGCTGCTAGGGTGTGTTTTCTCACTCAGCCCAAAAGCTGGAAGATCAAAGTATAAGCACCAACATAACTTGAGAAGAGCACTGAGGAGCCCAAGGGAGGGGACATAAAGGTTCTCAAAAAAGACAGGGAGTTGCCTTCCTTGGTATCCAAATCAATCAGCAAAACAAGTGGGTGGTTGGGTGGAGAAGAACACAGATGCTCAGGTGATGCTGTTTTGTGGGTCACTGAGCTGCTTCTGGGCCCAAGTGAGACACATCCAAAAACTGGCAAGTCAAGATGGAATACGGATGAGTCTATACCCCCAACAACTAACAATGCTCCGGGCCTTCTTGGGGAAACTCATTCAGTGCTATAACTCAAGAGCTTGCAACATAGAGGAATCACAGCCAGGGTATCCCCATGATCTCTGTTTCATCAAAAGCCACATAGCGACCAGAAGCAGATGGTGTTTAGAAACAGCCCCATGAGCCAATCCCAGAGACACTTCATTAATTATTACTGGCATTCAGTATGGCCTAAAGCAACATCCACGGGGAGGAGAGGACAAGCTTAGCTTAGTTAGGCTATTCTGACCCCCATTCAAGTCTTTTACTTTTTTTAGAAAAAGTGCATGCATGTATTTTTATACTTTCACATACTGATCATTACTCCCATGATATGTCCATGCCAAGTCTCTAAAGAGCAATATTTTACTCTAAATAACAACCTTCGAGGGGTGGTTGCATCTTCTTGTAACTGTATCTTCATTTAGTTTTATAAAATCCTTCAAATGATAAAAAAATAACCACTTTCTTCTTCTTCTGTCTACAGGAGGAATTCAGTTCAGGGTAAGAGATCCCTAGATCTATTCATAATCTATGGTCGTTGATCCCTGGACAATGTTGAAGTAGCCAGCTAGTGCCCCAAAGTCTATGTACAGTGATCGTTGTCTCTTCAGCAGTTCCGATTCCTCAGAAATCCCAAGGGATGAAGAATCTGATAAAAAAGATTTAGAAAGAGAACATCATCATTATACGTTTCCAAGTAAGTGGTCTTGAATTAATTTCTTTTCAAGAAAAATAATACATCAGATTTTCAAAATAGAAGGATGAATGGCAATACTTGGCTACAGATCTCTGTTTCTCAATTCTGGCATCCATAAAAATGACAGTGAGAAAATGGGATGCTTCGTTTTTGTAAACCAATGATGCCCTGTGATTTAAGCAGGTGACTCCAAAGTATTGAGATAGTGCAGTTCTGGTGTATTTTACTATCCATATGTGTACCTGTGTCTTGGTGTGATTTTGGCCTCTGGTCCTGTAGGACCTGGCCGTGGCACCACATAGAAGATTCAGGCAACAAGGCAGGGGTCACTACACCATAGCTACAGGTTGGCTATCTAAGCCCTGAGACAGAACAAAAAGTTGAGCGTTGGTGGACTACTGGCTAACTTCTGTTGAACCACATGCTGCTTCCTAGTTTCCGGAATTCATGGAAAGAAGAGCAGGTTAAGCAGACCTTGGTCTGATCCACCAAGATACTAACAAAGCAGGAGAGAGAACGCAAGTTCTCTTACCAGTTAAGGCACAAGGGTTGTATCCAACCATCTTTTCCATCGGTGGGCAGAAAAGGAAAAGGGCTGGGGAGTCCCCCTTTGACAGCCAGAAAAAATAATCTATCCTGGGGTTCATGGACAAAAGCCATATGTGATGGGGACTGTAAAAAGATGAGGAGTGAGAGTGAACAAAAAAGTGGGCTGGATCCAACCTCTAATTTGTGTTTGGAGGTCCAGAGAGTTCACTCTTGTGTTTAAATTTAAAGCTTTTCAGTGGACCACAAGGATCCGGAGGGACAAGACAGGAGAGGGATGACGCCAACTGCCACCTGACTGTAGACTTCATGTGTTCAGACAGAATTCTTACGGGAAAAACATCCTCATATCCCTTTCCTTCCCCAGGCTCCGTACTGACATTCATAAGACCATGTGGTACCACAAAAGCGGTCTATGCAGATCTCTGACAAACGGAGGGAAAAAATTCCATGCTAGGTGGACAAACAAGCAGAGAGGCCCCCTAACAAAAGATAACTTTGGGATGGGTCTCAGAGAGAGGAAGGAAAAAGTGCTCCCCCCCCCCATGGCATTCCACTGATAATGCAGCTTTTGGTTTAATTCGGCTTTGAATTGCTGCTGTTTCCCCCCCTCAGAGTGTTAACAAAACAACCCAACACTCCAAATACTGGAGACAATTATTTCACAACTCTGGAAAGTCCATGAAACTTTTTGTTCGGTTTGGTTTTGTTGAGAACTTCCTGGAGGATGACTGAATGTTTGCTATTTAATAGGTTCTAAAGGAATGACAGAACTTAGGCTAAAGCGGCGAACACTGTTCTTACATGCACAGGGTTGCCAACCTCCAGGCAGGGCCTGGTGATCTCCTGCTATTACAATCAGTCTCCAGATGACAAAGGTCAGTTCTCCTGGAGAAAATGGCTGCTTTTGGAGGGCAGATTCTATGGCACTGTATCCCGCTGAGGTCCCTCCCCTTTCCAAACCCCACTCTTCCGGGGCTCCACCACCAAAATCTCCAGGTATTTCCCCACCCAGAGCTGGCAACATGACATGAGGAGGAATGAGGTGGCAGAATGGACCATACCACTTCAGACTGCAGGGGGATGATCACACTTTGAAATGCTCCCATCTGTTAAAAATGCCCTGCATGCAGAAAGCAACAAAACAGAATGGGTTGAACTTTCCCCCTTGCTATGCTAATTTTCTACATGCTTTAAGTTTTTTTCCCCTTGAAGTAATGCTAAAATGTACTACGTCTACTCTCCCCAGGTCTTTGCCACCCTATTCTCCTGCATGAATGACCTAGGCCTTTACCCCCGCTGAGCAGCTGATGGGATTTCTGCCACGTATTTGAAAGTGATCTTTCTTTGACCTCATCTTGTCAAGACTCTGAGGCACAGATTTCAAAGGAGGCCCTTAAGCCCTGAAGCTTCAGCCTTGTTGCAAACAGAGGCTTATATAATAAGGAGACACAGGTAGGAGGACAGGGTTGGTTTTTTACCAGCAATGTTCTCTGGCAATTCCAGCTCCTTCCTGGTCAGCAGTCTTTTCCTTTCAAACAAGGCCGAGTCCAGACTCTGGCACCGTGGCTGCTCCTCCCTTGGCGGGTGCAAAGCCTCGTGCTTCAGAAGCTCCGTAGCAGAAGGCCTCTGGTTTGGGTTCCTTTCCAGAGCGGCCTCCAGAAACCTTCTTAGGCCAACACTGCAGCCTTCTGCGATGTCCTCCAGCGGTGGTGCTTGCTTATGTATCTAATCAAAACATAAGAGCAGTTTTAACAGGCTGATATGACAGAGTAGGGAAGAGAAAGCAGAGTTTTGAGAGGGTATTTTCTATTATACAGCTACCGCCCTAGGAATTTCCTCACCCTGGTGACTCATGGTTTGGCCATTCGCCACTCTGCTGCTGTGACGGCAGAACTGGAAGCTCAGCTAGTTTCGCACTTTAATGACAAACTGAAAACCTGCACTAAGTTCATGCAAAGGTCTGCAATCCAAACTCAAGGCGAATGTGTGGTGTTAAGTAGCAGCCAGAAGAGTGTGACCCACTTTAGAAGCCAAGGAGTTCCATTTGTCATGACAGAACAGTAGACTTCATACAATTTGGGCAAATATTTGTGAGCCCTGGCCACGTGCTGGAGCCTCCACGAGCACACATCGCCAGTGTGCTCCAGTCAAATGCTTTGCGTATTAGGTATGCTACACAGACAAACCTGTTAGGGCACAAGACAAAACAAAAAAACTGCACATGACCTATTTCTTGTCCCAGAGAAAACCTGAATATTGAAACTGTATTCGTGTACATCTCTTGAAAAGGCCAAAATTGGCACTTCTTGAGATGGCTTAAGACATTTTTGCTCATTACACTAGAGTTTGTTTTTCACACTCTGAACTTTGCAACTTGTGGTTTTCCCCTCTTGCCTCTTCCCGCTCTTGTCAGAGACAAACAAATCTGTTCATTTCGTCATATTATTCATATTTCCACAATCCTGTGGGAAGTTTACCAAGTTTAATCAACAGGAATGCAAAAAAGGTCTTGGATGGAATGTCAGCGGGTTCCTCTGCAGACCCGCACACGCAAAGCTGAGTTCACAGGAAGAGGGCCACACTGTGCATGGCCCGTAGACAGGAACTCTGTCTGACTGCTCCTTCAATTTAAAAAAATCTCTTCACACACAGAACTGGATGTCAGGGAGAACAGCTAGCCTAAAATGGGTCTCCCCACTGCCTCGACATCAGCTTCTACATGTGTCACCATGTTCAGTCCTGCCTACAATCTGAAGTGGTACAGCCCACATGCAGGTTTGCCAGTTCTGGGAGAGCTCGTGTGATGAAGACCACAGATCTCTGTCTGTAAAAAGGTAAATTGGATGTGCAGCTAAGATTGCAGGGAGCCCAGTTTGTATTACTGAAATCACCTAAGGTTGTTGGATTAAACCCCCATTCTCTCCTTCAGGTTGAACACATGACATTTGCCTTTTACATGTTGATTGACCTTTACTGCATCTGTTTTGTCCCTAAGTATCATCCCTTCGATGCAGTCTTTGAGAAGTCAGAAAACACCCAACAACCTTTCCTCTCTGGTTGCTGTAGCCCAGTTAAGGATGGAGTGGATACGGCTTGCTTTGGTTGCTTTTTGATTCTTCGCGTCGCCGTCATCAGCATCACTTTTGGTCTGCCTTGTCTTGTGTTGCTGTCATTGATGATTCCTTTGTTTCTTTTAAGCCATGCATGTCCCACTTGTGCAAAAATAAGTAATGCTGGAAAATGTGCTAATTGGAACGGGGAAGTTTGGTTGCAAAAATCGAAACAAAGCCGCATGTAAATAAGAACTCACTGGTTCATTTCTTACAAGGGGGAACCAAAATTAAAATGGGGATATTTGAACAAACCATCAAGGCTGCAAAACTCGATCTTACTGCTAGACCCAGTCTGCCGTTTTGCTCCTAAAGCAGTCAATTATTGTCAGACACAAGTGATATCAGAGGAGAGAATTGCATGTTTACTTGTAATTTAAGACCCTTCTTACCCTCACCCTCCTTCCAAAAAGAAACCCAAGGCGGCTTACAAAACTAAAAACCATTCCAATAAATAAAGGTTAGATGCTCAGTTGACCATCCTTAGTTGATGCTTACTATATAAAGGTAGGACGGGTACGCAGCACGAGGATATCGATTCACCCACGGCGGGCTGCCAGTCTGCATGTGAATAATGGTTGCTCCCAGGCTGTAGATGTCAGCTTTGGTCGTGTGGCCCCGGCAGAGAATCACTTCTGGGCTCATGTAAATCTGCAAAGGGAGTTCAGAGGGAAATCAGCTTCTGTTCAGGGCTTGAACATAAGAAGGGCTTGCTGGGTTAGGTCAGTGGTCCATCCAGTCCAGCATCGTCCTGTTTCACACAGTGACCAACCAGTTGTCCTGGAGGGCACACAGGGCAGAGAGGCTGAGGCTCCAGGATGGACTCCATGAATATGTCTAACCCCCTTCTAAAGCTTTCTACGCTGGTGGCTATCACTGCCTTCCCCGGGAGTGAATTCCACAGTTTAGTTACTTGTTGAATCAAGAAGTATTTCCTTTTGTCTGTTCTGAACCTACTTCCTAACAACTTCACTGGGTGCCCCTGAGTTCTAGTATTTTGGGAGAGGGCCAGAATGCTCCCACTATCCCCCTTGTCCATCCCGTGCCTAAATGTATAAACTCTTATCATTTCTCCTCACAGTTGTCTTCTTTCTGGACTGAAAAGCCCCAGACTCTCTAGACTTTCCTCTTAAGGCAGGTGCTCCAACTCTGCCCTTCTTTCATCCTGCCAACTCTGCAGCAAAAGCTAGCTGCAGCTGTGGGGGGCGCGCACTACTGGGTCTCACAAAGAAGAACGAAAGAGACCAATGGGAGGATGCAAAACTACAGTGGGCAAGCACAACACCGTCTCCCACAGAAAGCCAGTTCTGGCGGAGCGATGTGCTAGGAGCCGTGGGCTTCAAACCAGGTTTCACAGTTCAGTTCAAAGAGTGTGTGATCTGCCGTAAAGTCTACCTGTTCAACCTCTATTAAAATGAATGTGAGCGCATATTACAACTTGCTAGTGGATTATGCCCCAAAGTCAGCTCCTTCCCATTCATCTTTAATTACAAGCAACACAAGAGAAAACCAGCAGGGCTTCCTTCTCAGGGCTGGATCATTACCTCTGTTCCTCGGAGGTCTTTAGGATAGTAAATGTCTTCTGTCATTTGAACGCTGAGACCGAAATCCACCAGAACTGCTTTGGTTGACATGAAAACAATGTTGCTTGCTAGAAACAAAGAGATAAAGGAGGATTTAGGCTCTAGAAGAAACATTTCAAGACGCTCTGTAACCAGAGAGAACATCCCACTTGGTCAGAGAAGGCAAGAAACACAGACAGTTTTCATTCTAAATACATAAAATAAAATAAAATCACAAAGCCAAGAAAAACAATGCCAAGCTAAGGGGATCTGTAATGCTATTGTTGAACCTCATGAGATACTTTTTTCAAAAAGCTTCAGCTACTCCTTCCAGTAACAGCTATGAGCTGGAGACAGACCAATTACAATATTTTAGATTAAATTTGGGTAAAATACTGTATATTTATTCTTCCAACCCCATGTCTCTACTTAAGAAGTTTTGGATCAGTTCTGATGGGATAATATTATCCTGACTGACTTCAGCTTCAAAAATGGAACTTTCCCCATCTCTAAAGCCCTTCATGCCTATTAAATCTCAAATCTCGCTTCAGCTCTGAACTATCTAGATGGCCTTGAGCATACTACAAGGTGGGTGGCTGACGACCACCACAGTCCTCCAGACAACAGAATTAAAAGAGTATTCCTTTGTTAAGGATAGCACTGCAGAACTGCTAATGTTTCTCTCCTGCGCACCTTAATGACTTAACCTAAACATCAAGTGAAAGCAAATAACATGATTTAAACAGCTCCACAGGCCCCCAGGGTGACTTGGTTCCCCTGGACTTCTGTCCCTCTAGTCCCCTCCTCTCATGGCCTTCCTGGTTGTCTCAGTCCCTGATCTGTAATGTGGGAACAATAAAATTTGCCTTCCTTATAAGGTTGCACTAAGCGTTACTTAGGTAATGTATGCAAAGCACTTCGAACACCCTGAAATGTTAAGACATGCCTTAATAAACTGTACCCCCTAATAAGATGATACTTTACATCTAAGCTAGCTAATATTTATTTCCTGGTAAGCATCAGCAGTGGTTGATATTGTGCCCAGAAACCTTGCCAGGGGAAACTCCACCAAAGTCAAAATCAGAACCCTGTATGTAAGCTTCCTAAGACTAGAACCCTTCCTGAGACTAGAATCCTGATGGGTTTCAGATGCTCCTCGGGAAAGTACTTTATTTATAAGACTTTAGCAGCAATCCCAGCCACATTCACTTGACAGTAAGACCCATTTAACATAGTAGGACTTACTTCAGAGTATACATGCACTATTTAAAAATGCATATAGCCCCTAAACCACCAATATCCTAGTTAAACAAGTGGTTATTTTTATATCAAGCCGGGAAGACTATTGTTCCCAAAGCAGATGACCTTGTGGATAGCACTGGGTAAAGAGCAGAGACGGCACCATTCGCGAGCAATCAGCTTTGCCAGATCAAGACCAAAGATTCATGCGATTCTCAAAGAGACACACCTTTCCTAATTAGACCCGTTTGCAAATCCCAGCCTCAAACTACAGAGGTGGAAAGCATCCTATGCCCAGAGAGGACTTTTTGCATCCTTGCCTTTGGAGGAATGTGCCAACTACAAGCAGAGCCCCTTTGCTGAACCACCTTTCTGTCTTAACTGTGTGCAATCGTATGAGTAATGATGCCAAAAACTGTGTGCAATCATTACACAATGGAAATGTTTATTTTTCAGAGGAAGGGCTGTGCTTCCAGCCCTCCATTTTTTGCTGCCAGAAACTGCTTGGAAAGTGATAATGCAGCAGAATGGTCTTCCAACACTAGCTGGTTTACAGAGAATCCCTGGCATCATACCGGACATTCTCTAAGGCACACGCACAGCTTGTGCAGAGCAAAAGGGACATTTAAACACCCCAAACACTCGCATTTTGCAAGCAACCATCAGTAATGGACTGAAGTGGCTTCATACCAACTCTGACGGATGGTCCATCTAGCTCAGGACCGTCTGGTCTGACCTGCAGTGGCTCTCTGGGGTTCCATTCAAAGAAACGTCTTTCTCAAGCCCTGCTGCCTGCAGTTGCCAGGGACTGAACCCAAGACGTCAGTATGCAAACCACGTGCTCTGTCACTGACCCAGAGTGCTCACCCCAAAATAGTATATGGCTGGTCCATATAGCTTCAGGCATCAATTCCATATTCAGTACTGCTGAGGACTACACTGTTATTCCACTATAATGGATTATATTGTGAAGGCATCCCAGATGGTAAGGTTGACTGCCACAGGAGGTGGCGGCGGCTACAAGCATGGACGGCTTCAAAAGGGAATTAGATAAGCATATGGAGCAGAGGTCCATCAGTGGCTATTAGCCACAAGGTATAGATAGGGACTCTGGGGCAAGTGATGCTCTGTCATCTTGGTGCTTGGGGGGGTCAACAGTGGGATGGCCTGGCCCCACTGGTGGACCTCCTGATGGCACTGGTATTTCTGGCCACTGTGTGATACAGAGTGTTGGACTGGATGGGCCTTTGGCCTGATCCAACATTGGCATCTCTTATGTTCTTATGTTGACAACCTTGAGGTGGTCACTAGAGATCTCCTGGGATTACAACCAGTGTTCCCTCTAAGCTGAGTTAGTGTGAGCTAGCTCACAGTTCTTTAGCCTCCAGCTCGCACATTTTTGTCTCCGCTCAGGAAGGAGGGCTCCAGAGCAAACTGATTTATGCAGTATCCAAATGCCTCGCTCACAACTTTAATGCCAGCGGCTCACAAAGTGGAATTTTTCCTCACAAGACTCCACAGCTTAGAGGGAGCATTGATTACAACTGATCTCCAGGCATCAGAGATCAGTTCCCCTGGAGAAAATGGCTGCTTTGGAAAGTGGGCTCTGCGGCGTTGTACCCCATTGAAGTCCACCCCCTCCCCCACCACTGCCCTCCTCAGGCTCCGCCCCCCAAATCTCCAGGAATTTCCCAGTCTGGAGCTGGCAACCCTATCAGATGGTTTCCCAGATGGAGATGTAAAGACAATCTTCAAAATGAAGTTTTCAACATTATGTTGTTCTAATGAGGTATACGAAGAAAGAGTTATTTACAAATGAACATAAAGCCTACGTTTTATGTCTTGATGTATAACTCCCTTTGAGTGAAGAAACTCAAGCCCCTTGAGGATGTGCTTTGTCACCCAAATGATCTCAAACTCTCTCATCGGTCCACAGCTTTCCACCTTCTCCAGGACAGAGCCGTCTTCTCCTGCCTCCATGAAAAGGTGGATCGTCTCATCCCACAAGATGGCTCCATAAAGCTCTGCAATGTTCTCGTGGCGGAAGCAGGCCTGGATCTCAACATCTGATGGCTTAAACTGTTCCACTGGTACCTAGGATGTCAAAACATAGGTAGGCTAAGTAAAGCAGCCTGATTTCTTTTGTTGATAAACTGTCTCTCCTGCTTTAGTAGTACTGTGTTAAGGGGAGCATACGTGAATAGTCTTTAAAAGAATGGTTAAAATTTAAAATAAAACTTTGAAGCAAATATTGACAAAGTAGACTTGGTCAGGTAGCTCTCCACCAAAGACGTCACAGGAGCTAGCCAAGAGGTACTTGCAAACTGCACACCATGTGACTATAAACATGGCAACTAAGGGAAAAACTGCCATTTCCCCAGTGGCAAGAAGGGGTGTTAGAATAATGTAAACATGTAATTTCTGACACAGAAGCCCCGTTTGGAGTAATGTTGCTTGGATCCCCCACAGCAAATGAATATTGAGAGGAATCTGAGCCGTTTCTGTTCTCTGACTCACAAACCAGGAGGGCCTTCATAACTAGCCCGTAGCCTAGAGGAAGGGCAGGGTGTGTGCACAGCCCGGGATGCACGGAGCACTCCAACCTGCTCTTAATTAGATACCAAACACTTGCTCCCTAATCATAATACTTAACAGCTCATAGAAAATTAGTTGTTCTTGTACCTGCACGTGTAATGCACTGTGACTGACTGTCCCCTTTGAAGTTACTGTGTGAAGGAGCCTTTTTGTTTTGCCTTCAAAAAACTACCCAAAACATTGGGAACTGAAATTCTGGGGGGTGATGTTGGGACTGGCCTTTATGTAGCCAAGCTCTGGCCTGGACCGTTTCCAATTTCTGTCTTACAGAAAGGACGGTGGAGATCCTGAGCCATTCTTGGGAGTCTTCCGTGTCATTTCCTGGCTGGACAAACAGCTCCTGGGCAGCGGAGGCCCATAAAATTTCTAAAGCCAGCCAAACCAGATCAACAGTGCCATCCCAAGAAGAGTCACACCCTTCTTAGTCTATTGAAGTTAATGCCAGTGTGGGGAGGGAAGATGTGCTTGGAGATACCACGGCTACAACCCTCCACCTCAGGGTCAGTTGTCAAAACAGAGCTGGCTATTCACACAAGCACAGGAAACTACAGGAGCAGAGGATTCTCTCTCTGGAGGCTGTGCCGTCCTGCCTGCAGCCACACCAGCACTGCATGGTAGCCTTGGCAGTCGTTGGCCCCACCGTACGAGCAGAAGCCCACCTCCAACGCGCAATGTGAGGCTATCACGGCACAGGACAACAGCCAGACCCGGAACTCCCTGGCTGCATACAAACTGGATTAGAGCACACCCTGGAGTGTCCAAAAGAGTTTTCTTGTGTATACCTGAGAGCTGGGGAGGGAGGGGGGGGAGTCCCACAGGTAACCCTTTTCTGATTACCAATGAGCGAGTCAAGGAAACGCTGGAGGGAAAATAAAAATCCATCTGGGAGCTTTCTACTGGTAAAGCACAAAAATATTACATAGCTTATTGTGAAGTGATACGTTCTCCAGATACAGGGTTAAACGTTCTGGGAAACACCCGTAAGCTTAAACGTACAGGCTTTCTAAGCCCAAGACTCAAACCCTACATTTCTCCCCCATGCATTAGTCAATGAGTCACCGACTCATTTAAGGAGTTCTCTCTATTTGTGGGGTGCCATTATGCACTCAACGAGCGCCCTGCAGAATCCCACCCAAACGAGGCTTCCCGCTCCTTTTTACAGGGGAGGGCTCGCAGGTACATCTCACATACAGTCTCCATTTGAACGGCACATAAAATCATCCTTACAGAAATTTAACTGGTTTGTTGTGACTGTCAGGATAGCAAGCACTGGCTTATGCTCAGCCAGCAAATCAGAATCAGAAGCCATGGCTTGAAGTGCATTTACAGACTATGGTTTCTGTCATTGATAGTCTGGAGTGATGACTGAACGGATAAGCCAAAATTACAGGCAGTGAAGGGCCGCCTACCCCATAGACATGAAAATGTTAAGCTTTACAAAAACGAAAGCAAACCAGCAGGATCAAACTGTGGTTTGCCTACAGATGTGGACTATGCTTCGTGCAAACCATGGTTTGCTAAAACATCTTTATTTAAGTGAAGTAGCTTCTTGTGTACAGGACAGACAAGGATAGCAATGTGTGCATCAGAACCATAACTTACATCATACTATTTGATAACATCCTCGCTACACTAAGTTAACTGCTGCAGTCAGTTCTATCTTCTTACGTACATGTGAGTGCTGAACTTCTGCCTGAACCTTTTGCTAGGGTGAAACGTGTTTGTTTTGTAACATTTAGATGGCATAAGAGTGGCACAAATGGTTAACTCTCTCTTGATACATCCCATCGTTTGCTAGGGTGAAACGTGTTTGTTTTGTAGCATAAGAGTGGCCCAAATGGTTAAATCTCTCTTGATACAGCTCATCAAGCAACAAACCACCAAAGGTTCACAAGGCTCTGATGGGTGAGCAAGGATGCTCTGTTCTCTTTGATCCTGGCTGCACTCCTCACTGTGCCTGTTCAGCTTTTCCCAAAAGAGAACGGGGCAGACCCTGCTCAGGTGGTGCTCCAAGCCCAGACCTAACCCCCCACCCTCCCCACGTGCACGCCAGAGTGCTTCCATTTAGATTCCCTCCCCCCTGTGATGGAAGAAAAGAGCAACAGAAGTACCATCTCAAAACATTACGATTAAATGAGATCATCCAACAATCCCGGCAGAGTACAGTGGAGATTAGGAAAGACCACTCTTAGTAGCATACCAGTTTGCAAGCCATTCGCTTTTTGGTTTCTGCATCTTGGGCCAAGTACACTTTCCCAAAAGCCCCTCGTGGAATGAAGTCGGAACCAATATTTCGATAGGTTAGCTTCCATGGACACAGGAGCACGTCTGAGTCAATTTGGTAGCGCCCGTTTTTAGGACTGATCTATAAAATAATTTTT